TAGGCGCGGCCTTCTGGCCCTGGAGATTAGAGCCGTTTTCTCGGAAGGTGCACTGGCGCAGTGCCGGCGGTCCCGCCAGCCCGTCCCGAGCGCCTAGCCCTGCTCCCAGCAGTCCAAGGCCTGCCCGGGGTCTCGTGCAGCTCCACACCTCAAACACTGCAAGCAAACCCTGCCTTACAGCCTCTAAGAAACCTCACAGCTGCCACTGTATCTTTACCAGTAAAACCAGTCTAATCCACACCCTTAGTGAACTTTCCAAATCTTCTGCAGCTGCAGGGAAGTCAACATTTGTCAGGCTGCTAGAGAAACACAGCGATGAGTGGGAGATCATTCCCGAACCCATAGCCAAGTGGTGCAACATCCAGACAGCTGAAGACGACTACAAGGTAGGTGTGCTGGATTTGGGAAGCCTGGGGAGAGAGATGCAGCACAGAAGAAACTGCAGTGATTAGCCAGGGAGCCATTCCAAAATTCAGCTATGCTTAGTCTAGAGCACGCAGAGTCATCCCCACTATCACACCAGTTGGTCAAACACTCATAGTAAAGGCTGCTTAAGATGATACTACTGAATGCATATTCCAAATAACCACCCCTACTCCACAGGAATGACACTGAAGTCTACAATAGGTTGTTCACAGAGTTCCAAAGCAGCTGTCATGAAGACTACCATCAGCTGAGAAACAAATCTCTATTCTTATGCCTAAGCAGTTTCCTGAAAAAAAAAAAAAAGGCTATGACTTCTTACAATTCTGAATTAAGAAAAAGGAATAAAGTCCTGCACATATGCTGGTATTAATATTAAGTTTTGTCTGTTGTCCCCTAGGAACTTTCAACATCTCAGAAGAGCGGAGGAAATCTACTTCAAATGCTATATGATAAACCCACAAGGTGGGCTTACACATTTCAGACTTACGCTTGCTTGAGCCGAGTAAGAGCACAATTAAAACCTGTCTCAGCCAAGCTGCAAGAAGCAGAACATCCAGTGCAATTTTTTGAGAGATCTGTGTACAGTGACAGGTAATTACTCTCACAGTGGAACAAGAATTCAGATTAAAAGCTCCAGATCTTTACGCACAAAGATGGAGCTGGGGAAACACCTGATACTAAACTAGTATCTGCAAGGGGCAGGTTTGATCAAACACATGAGAGCTGGATAGTATTAGGAGTACTTTACAGTTGTGAGAGCAACTATTTTTTCAGTACCATGATTCTGATTCTAGTGAGAAGTGTTCCAGTTGCTCACTTTGATCATTCCTGGCATGAGACTAGTGTCTTTCTTTGCAGATATGTGTTTGCTTCTAACCTGTTTGAGTCTGGAAACATTAATGAAACAGAGTGGGCTATTTATCAGGACTGGCATACATGGCTTCTGAATCAGTTTGAATCAGATATAGAACTGGATGGCATGATCTACCTAAGAACCACACCTCAGGTATGTTCACAATTTTCAGCTCCAACTTAAAACCCCAAGTATTCATGACAGAATACTGCAGTGTCTTAACACTGAATTGGTTTCCCCACCCCAAATGAATGGGAAGCCCATCATAAATTCAGATTTCATTCAGAGACCAAAAAACCCCAGCCTTCTGAGCTGCTATTCTGATGTCAGCAGATGTTACAGTTGCTACCATCAACCAGTCTCAGATAGCATCCAAGGCTGACACTGAACTTATGAATCAAGTTTGGCCTCCCTTCCCATACAGTCCTGAACTGAAGACAATCTTTTACTTAAGAACTATTGACATTTAGCTAAAGTGGCTCAAGTCTGTCTGTTTTTTTAAAGACAAGTTATTCTAGATTTAACTCACATGTTCAGCCAAGCATTCAAAATTAATGTTCAGTAGTGTCTAACATTAGTCCATCTAAGGACCACTTGATCAGTTTAGCTGATTTAGCCTTCAAGACAAGATTAATGTCTAGGCTTCTACTTTTTTCTCCCTCCTCCCCCCCCCACCAGAAATGCATGGAAAGGCTACAGATGAGGGGAAGAGAAGAGGAACAAGGAATTGAGCTTGAGTATTTGGAAAACCTCCACTATAAACATGAAACCTGGCTTATGGAAAGGACTATGAGGTATGAACCCATTTTCTGCTGGCAAGTTTCAACTTATAGGCAAGGCTCTTTCCTACCTCATGCTAAAGTCAATTAGGAATAAAACTAAGGTTTAAGTCTAGCTTCACTCCAACACAATTGTAAGAACTTGTCTTTAGACCCATTCCAGGTTTATTGGCACAGGGATGATTGATTACTCTAGGTTATATGCAAGAGAAGGTCATCTGTTGGCAGGGGAGTAAAAATTGCCAAGAGATGGAACTTCATCTCATTTAAAGATTTTGTTAAGCATTAGTTTCAGCTAGAAAGTTGTATAGCTCTAACTTCAGCAAGGATATGAATTTTGGTAACTGCAAGTACACAGGACTAGGGCAGAGTTGAGATTCTGTTCGGGTGGCCACATTATCTACTAAGCAGCTTCCAGTTCCAATGTAAGGGAGGGCAAGGTCTCCACTACCTTTAAACTGGGCTGACTGTATTTCAACAAGGTTTAAATATTAACCCTAGCTTCAAAATAAACAGTAATCAGAAAGGCTTTTGGCAAGTACAATTGCACCCAAGAAACCCAGTCAGCAGCTAAGTGATCTCTGCATACTTTCACCCCCCAACTTCCTTCCCATGCAAGGCACCTCTAAATGTGAAAGCAGACTTTAGAATTTCCCTTAGAGGAGCCAGAAATACTCTACTGAATGGAAAGCATAACAATTCCAGGAAAAGTACATTATCAGTCACATCTACTTTCCTAAGTTGCCTGTAGAATGACCCAAATGCTTAGGAAACAAGAAGGCACTGCATACTGTGGAATTTTTGGGAACATTTACATTGTGTACTCATTCCAAACTTGTGAGCAAGCATTTCCTGTATTTTTCATAGGAACACTTAAGGCTGCAAACACAAGTTAGAATGTTGTTCAGTGCACTGACTGCATTTTAGAAATGCTTTTCTCACATAGGAGTATAGAATAACTACTGCTTTAAGAGAAGAGTACACCCAGTTGCACAACTACAGCTCCCATCTGCTCCTAACCTGTAGCCAAAATGGTCTTGCTTATCTCTGAGCCATTTTAAATACCAGTCTTGTAACCTGTTAAAGAGGTCATGCCCACCAAAAGAAGCTTTAAAACTGCATCTTAGTAAATGGATTAGCAGTAACCATAAAGGGGTGGGGGAGACATGGCAAATATTAAAAAAAAAAAATACTCCCGCTTATCAAAAATCACATTCCTGGTAATTAATTCCATAACCAAAAGAATGAGGTAAAGGAAATTAAGAAGCATAAACTATCTTCCCCTCCCCTACTTGTACAATAAAATATATATTAAAAGGCCAGATTTTGAAATAAATTGAAGTTATGGTGATACAACATTGACTGGGTTATACAAAAGCAATTAAGGACAGGCTTGACTTGGGCTTTATGTTAAGTCATGGGCATCAGCATTAATATCTCAGGTGTATGTGGTGATCTGACTAATGCTGCACCCTTAGGATGACTCAGAAAGCAACTGGAAGAGCTGGACTGGTATAAAGAACTGTGTATAAAACATTTTTACTAGCATTATGTTCTTCCATCTAACAGAGTTGATTTTGAGAGCCTTAAGGAGATTCCCGTTCTAGTTTTGGATGTTAATGAAGATTTTAAGAATGATGAGATTAAGCAGGAGTACCTGATTGATAAGGCAAGTATTAATGTTTCCTCATACCTGCTTTTCTTTTGCATTAAGAACTTTGTTATCAATTTAGATTCTTAAAATTGGTCACCTTTAACAACTTAAAGTCAGAATTTAGCAATCACCAAGTATTTGTTTGGGGCTAGTATAGTCAGTCTCCTCCATACAAACTTAGGAAGCTGCATGGCTGCAGAAAATGCTTTTTGCTTTTCTTCACACATTAAACCCTACCTCATTATCTTCACACTTAATTCAAAGGAAAACTGGGTGTTTTATAAAGAGGGGCCATTGTGGAGAATGCGAGTACAGAGCAGCTGGAGTTGTCAAGACTATTCTCCACTAACTCTGCACTGCCACACTGTTCATTAAATACCTCACAGTATGATAATGTCCAGTTCATGTCGGCCATGATGTCTTTAGAGAAATCCTACAGTCAGCTTAGAGCTATTTATGCTGTCTCGCATTCTAGGGATCTAGGCTCTTCCTGGACAGAGCACCACGCATCAAACTAATGCAGAGACAACTGAACCTTGTACATAGTTCTAAATGCATTAAGTGACACTTAAGTGGAGCTGGGAGGGAAAGTCAACGGCTGTTTGAGGCAACAATGATAAATAGGTCACTTGAGTCAGAATGGTGTTTTCCAATTCCAAGGAAAGGTAAGACTTAGGAAGTATGTGCCCAAATCCTCCTGTCCCCAACCCTCCAAGCAGAGCTGTAACATTACTTACTTCATTCACCAGGACACTTTTAACCTTCCTTTCCCCCACTGCCCCAACAAGACTATTCTTGCAAGATGGAAAACAGCACCCCCTGCTATCAAACCATATTAAACGCGTTTCTCCATCTTGTTCTGTGTCATCAATTTGAGATTACCAAAGAATTACTCCTTCAAGCCAAGCTTGATTCTCTCAATTAAATAGCTGTATATAAACTGGGGAGGGGAGCACAATGTTCAGTTGTGGAGGTATTTGTTGTTAAATTACATCCTCGTGGAAATCAGCAATTAACAGCTTGGGGAGTTACAAACCAGGCTACATTCATGCTTTCAGCTTGGGGTAGGGGGTACAGCACCATGCTCGAAGTGCTACCAGACCTCTGGCTTTTCAGACAAGCTCTCTCTTCCTAGGAAAGAGCTACCCTAATGAAGTCATTTTTCTTTAACTAAGTAATATTCTGTAAACTACCTTTCCTAAGTACTTGTTATTTTTTAAGTTACTCAATTCCACCTAGTATTAACTTAAAAAGCTTGGGTTCACAGCCATCTGCTCTGGTCAAAAGCATTTCAGGTCATGAATTACATGAAGAGGCAGAACAGCGCTGGAGACTATACAGTAACAAACTATTTGTTCCCCAAGAAAGGGGAAAAAGCCCAATGATTTAGCTTTTTCTTTTAATGTGTCAAATATATATGCTTTTTGTTTTCACAGGTCAAGTCTTTCCTGGCTTAAGACGTGAAAATTAAGTTTTAATGACAAGTGCCTGAAGTTCAATAGTTAAACCTAACAATCAGTGTTTTCTTAAGACAACTTACTTTAAAAGTATAACCTGTATAGCTTATTAAGGCAAGACTGAAGAGCAAAATATGGTTTGCTTTTGGGTGGTTTTTTTTGTGTTTTTTTTTTTTTGCTTGTCTGACCTGTGTGGATTTTGGTAGAATTTTCTGTATAGGTAAAGTGAACAAATATGGAGTGCTTTGGTAATGTATTTTGTGTATATTCTCCGTTGTTTAATAAAGATTTTAAAGTTAATACTAACTAGTAACTGGCTTTAACAACGGAAGAGTTAACCGGTTATCAGCGGCTGAGACCCCAGCCAATAGATAGCAGACGCCGTACCAGGGCTGTTTTGCAATAACTGGCATCGTTCACCATTTTAAGACGAGACTGTTATGGCGTCCAGAAACCTTTCCTTTGAACTTCTGCTTTATTGAATGGCTGTTTTCACAGGATTTAGTCTATTTAAAGACGGACGTTACCACAGTCGCAAGGATTACACCTGCAATAAACTGCAATTTAAGCGTATCTTGTTTACGCCCCCCACCCCTCCCCCCACTAACAGCGGGCAG